TACAATATTGTGGGGACAGTAATACCCATGGCTCAGAGCCTAGTTGGCAAGTAAATGTAAATTTTTTATTAAAAAAATACATATATATACACATCAACATACTTTGCATGGAGGAATAGTAGCATGACACGTGACACAAGGCACTGACACAGGTTACAGAATCTCTATGAGCATTTTCTTGAAATGACAAATGAACTATAGATAAAAGAAGTAAGATCGCTCAAGACAGACATGCACAAACATGTAGAGAGATTCATCCACTTCTGAACACTGTTAGTATAGGGATGTGTTACGATGCAACCGCCTTTGATTTAAGCTGGTAGGAGAACAGAAAGACTACTTAGAATCATAGAACAATTCAGGTTGGAAAAGACCCTTGGGATCATCAAGTCCAAGCACTGACATGAAGCATTCACAAAAGACTCCTCACAAACAGCTCTGCAGCTCTGGTGAACAGGTAACACTTGTAAGCAATCCTAACCTCATGCTTAACACACAAGGAAAGCCCCAGCACAGCCACTGGCTTCAAAGTGTAGGTTCTGGCTACCTCTGTCTGATCTACGTGTAAGGGCTTTGAGAAGAAAAAAAGAAAGAAAAAAGCAAGTGTTCTTACTATATCAAATTGCAATGAAATCTTTCAGCAGGGAGAATACTAAATCCTTTCATGAAGGGCAACTACTGTATCTCTTCTAGAAATAAAATTAATTGCCCGAGGATACAAAGAAAGTCTATGAAAGGTGGAGGAAATGGGGTAACTGAAACCATACTCCAAGTGCCAGCCTGTCTGCTGAGCAGAACTTCAGGGGAGACCGGCAGGGCTGAATAGCTGAAAGTGTTACAGCATGATTTAACCCCGTAAGCGTTGTGAAACCTGCGTCCTTGAGGGCAGGGTGCTCAGAAGGCCCTGCAGAACCCTGCACGAACTGCCCAGCACCAGCTGCTCTCTGTGCTGGCTCCGTTCTGGATGCACAGCAAGGGGACTGCTCTTACTGCAGAATGTAATGTCCTATGGTGTCCTCTCTTGTTGCCTGGCTCAGCCTTGGTCCTTTGCTGACATCAAATTAAGTGTGCGTCTAGCTCAAGGCCGTTAATAGCATGTATTCCTTCAAGCAAAGGACTATTTTTTTTCCTGCTCTTGTCTATTAGAAAAGAAAGAAAAAATCCAAATAAAACCCCAGTGGTGTAGGTGATGCAGGATTAACAGCTTTAAATTGTGCTCAGCTGTCTTTTTAATATATGCATATTGCAAGGCTCATCATGGTCCTGTAAATGCACCCAGCTCTGTTGTTCAATGCACAGTTCTTAAATTAACTTATCATCCGACAAGTTAACTTCTCTCAACAGCGTTCTGTCATATTTTTGACCAGCTGACACCTACGAGTCCACTCTGTGCGGAAACCATCACAACAAAAAGGGACAAGTGTACTTCTGGGAAGCCACAAGTACAGCAGTTCGAGACGTGACTAACAGGAGGATTTGCTATTTCCTTAATAACTACCACACCAAACCCAAAAATTCCCCGCCTGCAATGGCACAGCATTTTGGTGTCCAACTTGGCTTTGTAAAAAGACACTCATGAAGTATGTTGTAGAAACCAAAAGCGTTTAACTAGCGTGCTGAATCCAGGCTGTGGGATCACTCTTGCTCCTCACACAAAGATTTGGCTTTTAATAACTTTTATGTTCAACCCAAACAGCTAGCTAGCTATTACATTTACTCCTCCCCTCTTTTAATTTTGTATCAGATAACTTATTAGATTTTTAACAAAAATAATTTTAAACTAAACAGTATATTAGGGGAAAGAAAAGCGACAACTGTCCAGTGCTACGCGACACGCAAGGTTTTATACTCTGCTCCAAGCTCATCTCCTTCGACTGCACTCATGGGCCCAGTACCCGACAGTACAAAAGCCACGTTTTCAGTCTCAGCTACACCAAGAGATTTTTCAATATCGCTTTTCTAACAGTCATTGGTCACATGAAATACTGGCATTTCAGTTTAAAAACTTTTAAAAATGCACTTGGTACATAAAAAGCACTAGAAGAGATAAAATAGCGAGTGAATAAAAAGCACAAGCTGGTATTTCTGAAGTGGAAACTTCAAGATCATGAGCTGCAAGCTCCGACTGGGAGGAGAGAGAAAAAAAAAACGGCACTTTCTTTAAAAGCAGTGTCAGAGGGGCTGAGTTTATTCTGGTACTGCACACAGCACGGCTTGGTGGTGCTCCTCGAACTGCTGGCACGGTGCCCCGTTTTATACACCCTGCCACGTACTGCACAGTGAACAGTAGTCCTCTCAGAAAAAGGAATGCTGTAATTTAGAAGTGCATTTTCTAGGAAAGAATGTTTGAATGGGGAAAGCAGTCATCCCTTAAAAAAATAAAGCGAGCATTTTTTGGGTTTCAGGAGCAATGATTCATCTGGAATCCAAACCAGCTCAAACAGCTTCAATAAAAAGATGTTTCAACCAGTGGTGCTGCAAAAGCAGTTCAGTGGCCCAGCATTAACAGGATCCTTCTAAAGCAGTCTGGCTTGGGGTGGGTTTTACCTCCTGCTATAGATTTACGTGTCAAGTTGTCTGGAAAAGCAAATACAGCCTAAACAATCCGCACATGGAGGAACACAAAGGCAAGGGGAACCATGAGAAGTGAAGTCTCCTCCAATCTCAAGCCCATTCCTGCCCTTTACCTGTATGTTTCTTTGCCGTTCTAATTCCAGCAGCCAGTCAGATATGGAATTAAAAATCTCAGGGTAGGTAAAACATGACTGAATTCTCCCAAGTTCCTCAGGAATGTCGAAGGCAGTTGCAGAGTACCACCCTTTTGAGCCCCACACCTTAAAACGTTTAAGGGCCTCACACTCACCAGGTCCGAGCCACAAGGCAGCTGGGGGCTCGCAGCGCTCCACGTCAGGGAGGCGGCAGCGCTTCAGCAGCAGTGGCTGCCCTGAGACTCGACTCATTCCAGATTAAAGCTCTAGGGGAAACAGTTATTTTGTCATGTCGCAAAGCCAATAGAAGGCGATGGCAAAAGGGACTGGCTGCACCATCAGCTGCACACACCCACTAGGGTATCAGCTTTTAATGATGGGTGTTACCCAATGCTGCTTTTTCTGACTGTGGTATCTGCAATAGTCTTAAGGCATAACACGCTTCCCACTGATTAAAATCAAAACTCTAAATAAAAGGGGCAAATTACGCATCTCAATTTCAATTTCTGATCTGGCCACTTTCTCTAATGCCTGTTACTAAGCACACCAAGTTTGACAGGAACTGTGAAGGTTATGTTCAAACAGTCTGTGTCAGACACTGAAGAAACGCTTTCTTTAACACATGCAGCCATGGATAACAGAGACAGGTAAGACGTGCACAGACCTTAAAAATAGAAAACAAAAATTAAACACAACAGATGTCAAACAGGAAGATATAAGTTCCTAAAGTCATTCTGGAGGGAGCTTGTGGAGGTAGTTTTAAAGGAGCAAACATGTAAGATCTCGCTGGACGCCCCCTGCTTGCAAGAGCTCTGACGAGTAAACAGACCTGCAGGCTGCTGAAGGTCCAAGGCAGTTTTCCATGTATAAAAATAAAAATTTTCTGCTTGTAACAAGCATGGCTTTAAGGATCAGACTTCGGCTACCATGGTTTCTTAGTTTCCATGAGTTATAATCTATCCTGAACCAACTAACTTCTCTTAATCCAGTATTGTAAATCACTTTTATCTTTTTAAAGGAATTCATAGTCAAGTAAAAACCATTAAGCTACTAGCTACTCTAATGTCAGGGGTTGTGTTCAAAGAAGCTGAAAGAATACTAGTTTTCTATCGAAGCAGCAACTACTTCCAATCATTTAAACAAGGAAATTATTTAAAATCATCGACTAGCACTATCCCCTCCCAAGCTACAGGAGCCCATCGGTGCTAGTTTCAGCCTCTCCTGGTGCTTTTGTTAGCGGAAGCAGAACCCGGTGCTGCACACACAGTTTTAGTACGTTAGTTGCACTAGATAAGCCAGGCCAAGCAAGACGGCACTTCCACCTTCGCTACCACCAACATTCCAAACTACTTTCT